CGGCCGCAGCGCCATCGCTGTGCGCAACGCCTGCCGCACCCCGACGTGTGCCCAGGCACCCTCCGCCGCCCGCCCAGTCCCTTTTACAAGCTGGCTGACTGGAGCGTTTCTGACTGGAGTCAGCACAAACCAGCTGCCGACTGTCCGGAGCAGCCGCCGCGTTTGTCAGCGTCAGGCCTTTGCAGAACGCAAGTGGGTTCATACTTTCACACGACCTTTGCGCGCTCGGAGGTGAATCGCCTTCATCGCTCGTATCTTAATCTTCAAAAGGAACTGGTGGGCTCCGGGCAAAAAGTCAAGAATGTTTTCACATATTTGGGAGCTCTCCTTTACGCAACCTCCACAGCAACTCGCCTTTGCTGGAAGGGATGAACGATACCGAGCCAGTCAGCAAAACACCCACCCTCAGCAGGGGCGGCGGGAGGCGGTGACTGTGTCAGCTCCGACGCCGGCGTGGAACAACCGGCATTTCCCTGCACACGGCAAAGCTACCGCGATTTAAAACCTGACGAAGCCGGGGTTACCCCGAACCTGCGCAGAAGGACGGGGTTCTCTGCCTCCACCCCGCGAACAGAAAGCGGGAGGAAGCCACTTGCGCGGTGCTGACGCGCGTTGCTCCGGCCAGGGCAGTTCTCACCCTGCGGAACTTCGGACAGGTTTGCAGCCAGCGTGCAATGGACCAGCGTAAAACCCAGCAAAATTCATCGTGGATCTGCTGGGAACCTAAAGCTGCCAGTGACACGATTCTTGCTGTTGTAAATTAGGAGCAACGCTGCTAGGACCATGGAGTTAGACTGGTGTAACTGAGAACCAGGCGGGCAGCGCTGTGTTTACACTGGCAGGAGATTAGCCCCCAAATCAGGCTTTTAGAGCAACCAATTGAGGGATGAGACGGCACCAAGAGCCCAAAATACCGTATGCACAAAAACCCTCACAGTTACCTGCAGCCCCCCCAAACCTGCACCACATGGCAGAGCAAACAGGGGCTCCCCAAGGCCCAGACCCCCACAGCTCCCTGGGGAGGGGACTGTCCCCGTGCAGGAACCTGCAGCGAGCTGTCGGGGTACTCCCAGCCCCATCCATCTGCCGTTCGCTCCGGTTCCTTGCACTCAGGTCTCTGCGACGGTGGGGAGGACACGGTGCTTCCCCCAGCCCACCGACCCCCCGGGCTCTGCTCCCTCTCCCACAGCTGCTGGGGAAGCCTC